TCTGTGGTCAGTCGGTGTTTTAAAAGAAACTGAGTGCACTCTGGTAACTTTTATCATCTTATAGACTTAAAAAAAAGACAAACACTTCTCGTACAGTATTAAAACCTTTACTCATGATACAACAAACAGAAACGAGATTCAGAATTAATGACTGAAAAAAAAAAGTTTCATATTTTTTTTTTTCTTCTTTCAATCCCCAAAGCACACAATAGTCAATCAGCTCCACATGTACGATGGAGTAAGATACAAACAGGACAAAGAACAGACACACGAGAAAGAGAGAAATTAATAACGAGTGACAGATTCTTCCATTCTGATTTTACACTTCTCGTATTTGTTTAATACTTTGTAATAAACAAAAGATGAATAGCATAGATTGAAAAGACTGATACAAGAAACGAGACAAAGAAAGTGTGTGTGACGTTTTTAAAGTGAAGAGTAAACAATTAAGGAAGATTCTAGATCTACTGGAAAATAGTTTTTCTGCTTTTCTTCTTGATCAACAACCGAACACCTGATCTGAGTTCTTGTCCCTGCCCTTCTTCTCCTCCCTCCTCGGCTCTCTGACCTACTCTTCGCGGTTCGTCCAACCTCAAACACAACCACCTTCTCCTTCAGCGGAGAAATCCAGTTCAGCTGATCCTTCCTATCAAGTTAATGCAACCAGATCCTGCTCACCACACCTATGCATTTTAGTGGTCTATGCACTGTTTCCTCTAAAGTTAGAACCATATTTTCTCCCTCATAATCTAAAACAGACTCTGAAAAGCTTTTCAAACGTCCACTTTTAGCCAGACAGGTAACACCCAGCGGCAAAAATACCAAACCAAACCCAGCTTAAGAAGAGCAGGTCCAGAACTAGGCTATGCTAGCCCTCTTAAATCGTTCCTTATCCTAATTTCACTCATCGATGCATTCCCCTCTCCTTTATAAACCAAAGCAGATCTTTTCAGGCTATTAAGCACCAATGCACAGCTTGAGCACCCAGAGGGGTCCACAACACTGATCCACTCTCTCCTGTGACCAGCACGTCCCCTCTCCACACGTGCTATCATTCAACTCCTATTAGGGCCCCCGTTAGTAAGCATCACAGACAGGCCGAGGCGAGCGCACGTTCTGCACGATCACAACATATGACATGACAGACAAGCGCTGGGGACTGAGTGGCCCTGCATTTAAAAATGGCTGCAAACAGCTTGGCAGTGATAAATAAACCAGTGAAGGTGGTGGCGGTTTTGAGGCTGCACAGCACACTCTTTAGCACTCACTGATCAAACAGGAGGGGCCTTGGCGCCTGGGTTAAAACGTCCAATCAGACACGGTGAAATCTTCAGTCACAGCCCGCGGGTGGGAAAAAGCATATTTATAATCAACGTCTTTATTCTCAAAAGCGAGTCATTTCAAAATGTAACAAAGATGGCGACAACAATACTGCTACACAGTCAAAAGGTCACAGCATGCGTCTGCCTTGAGTGCACAAGGTCGCAACGACAAACGTTTTTGGCGGTGCGGTGCGATCCCGAGGCCCCTCGGTGGAGACCACAGATCGCCGCAGCTCTGCCGTCAAGTAAAGTAAGCAAAGAGGGACACACCACGGGATCCCTTCGCCATAGCTCTCCAACACTTTGTCCCACGATAAGCTTCACATCCTTTTCAAACGGTCCGAGTCCATTCCGATGGAAAGCCCGACAATTTTCAGCCCACATGGGTGACTGAATGTTAAGTTTAAAAAAATTTAAAAAAAGGCAGTGGAGATGGGGCAGTACAGGAAGGAAGGAGGCCGGGCTGTACTGACCGAGATCGGGCCAATGAGCGAGTTCATCACCCCTCCAGCCTGGCTCCCTTTCCTGCACCATTTTATTATTTCACGCAACTAATTTATTTAACAGCGCTCAGCAAGTCACAGCCAAAGCTACAGTTTCTGCCAGTCAAAAGGCGCAGCTGCAGAAGATCCCATACACATGTGCATAAAACCTTACACACATACCTTAAAACAAAAGCTGAAAAACAAAAACACCCAACCACCAGCTGTTGCCAGGACAGTCAGCCTGAAAGCTTGAAACGTCTTAGCGCGTAAAACCTGCAATGACTGTATCGCTGTTTTACTGTTTCTGTTTATTGTCTTCTAAAGGCTAAGCTCATAGCAAAAAGTAAAGGAATCTAAAAAAAAAAATAGCATAGCACAACTTAAATACTTTGCTGTTATATGGAGGGATGGGAATACCTAAATGATTTTACTGCCAATTAATATTAAGTTATGTAACAGACTAAGCTAAAATGAACTAATGCCAGAAGCACAACAGATATAATGCATGACAAGTTGAACCACAATGAGTATACAAGTTGCATATTTTGACTTTTGAAGAATCACCAACAGAAATCGGCGTCCGTTCAGTCAACTCTGCATGTGTGTCTAGTACTTAATGTCAACTAGTGAACCCTCCAGCACTGTGACTGGCTCTATAATGATTCCCATCCCAAAGGTATAAACACGGTGCAGTAGCAGCAGGCTTAAACATTCAACAGAGGAAGCTCCAAAGCTAAAATCCTGCAGAGAAAGTTTCAAGGATATCAACCAACCAGAAGAGGAGATTATTCACACCATCACACATCCTGAAGTCAGCATACTCTCTGAGCGGCACACGGAGGAAAAAAAAAAAAAAGCTTGTTTAAGGTAAAAACTAATCCACAGCCCAACTGTCTCAGGATAACCAAACCTGTGTCCAGACCACAGATTTCAAAGCTCAATGGCTGCAGAATCACTCAAGTCTCTATTATTTCATCTGAACCACCTCAAGTCACTAAAGCACTGAGACCGTACTACAGCTTATACAGTACAAGAATGCTGGTAGATGCTCGTGCATCTCACCTAAATCATGAGCTTATCACCATCTCGCTTCGCTTGCTAATACATAACACGAGTCAGCAATGGTGCATAAGAGAATGAGCTTTCTCTGCATGTAGGAAATGAATGGACATCTGGAGACTACTTTGTTGAGTTGATCGTTTGTATGCAAGGAAAAAGAAGAAGTGAAACAAAACCAAACTCTAAGGTTAGACCAACTTATATGTTAAACACGACACCTGTTTCACAGGTCAACTGCCAGCCTCTATGTCCACATCACATGGGGGAGGCCGCGGATCCTCTCTGAGAAGAAGTATTTGGACTATTTGCAGGGCGGGAAGCTCTTTGCTCATTCTGGTAGCTGGCGGACCCCAAAATTCAACAGCTACTTCCACTGCTTCCACCAGGCAAACTGCTTCCTATAATTACAAAACAAACTAACTCTGGCTGTGACTGGTAGAGCAGAGCCTCATCAGCCACAGCCAACAAGTACAAGCACTTTGCTGGTATTCATTTTCCAAAGTAAGGAGACTAAAATAAAGGCCGGGATCTTAAAAAAAATGAAAAAGAAAACTTCAAGAGGGAGATTCAGTTTTAAGCTAGAGTGGAGAACGGCTGTCTGATTTGTCTGTGTACTTGCATACTGTAATTGCATTGATGTAAATGTGCAAGTCTTAAATGAAAAGACCGTATTCGTTATTTAGCACCTGGTAGAGGACACTTGTGCCTCTTCCCTGTAGAATGATACTGCAAAATGTGTATCTAATTTCTATTCAATGTGGTGACTAAAAAGAAGGCTAGATATACTTCAGAATGTCAACACTCTTTTAAATACTAACAAAAATGGCAGCAAATCTTTATGTGTACCCCAGTATTGCTCGCCTTTGAGCACGTGTAGACGGTTTAATTCATAGTTTTAATATCTCCTGATCGTGTGGTAGCTGCATTTGACTTTTCACTGTAATTCTCAGATTCAGTTGCTCACAAATTTCAATCACAGTAAATGTCAAGTGCCATTGTCAACAAAATCCAGCCAACCAATTACCAAGAACTACAGGAAACATTGGCAGAAGTTGGTGCAAAAGCAGCATTGAGGTGTGGTTTGGCCCTGGGCTCCAAAAGGTTCAATGGTGAAGGTTTAATGGTTGTCACATGGGAATCCAGTCCAATGTTGAGTCAACAGCTAAAAATAGAGCTTTATAATTTGTTTGGTGGAGCCACATCTTTGACATTCTCAAGTGTGAACAGGCCTTTGTTTTCACATGACTCCATTTTTTTCCTATTATTTACATCTACTGTACAAAAGGTTGCAAGCACCGAGCCCATACACAGTGAATAAAGTTTTGAAAGAGTAGGTAGTAGGTGTAGGATTTCCATTATATATAATCACAAGTTAATTCCAGGAGAAACACGACATACGCGAGGATCTTTGTAAACATGGGGGCATCTTCACCGATCTCCATCCTCAACA